TGCCCGATTAAAACAACGAAAAACTAAGTCAAGATGAGGACTTCCTCAGCTACATTTACCTAAGGGGTTCTTTCAGAGAAGTAGACGACAATCAAGCAGAATAGGCAACAGGGAGTTTGACAGGGGACCCCAGATCTGCTTAGGAGGCCCCTAGATCTGCTTTCCCTTCCCCCTTGAGAAAGTCGGTACCGCCGGCCCTGGTCAGGAATATCCGCCTCGAGACCAGGTCGTTATAAATGTATATTTCACCATCCCTTCAGTGCTGTTCACAGTGCACGGTCCTACGATGCGGTCATCACACGGTGGTGCAATGGTCATGCAGTGCGTGCCAAGAGTACGGTAGTGCAGTGGTCATGCAGTGCGCGCCAAGAGTACGGTAGTGCAGCGGTCATGCGGTGCGCCTCAAGAGTACGGTAGTGCAGCGGTCATGTAGTGCGTGCCAAGAGTACGGTAGTGCAGTGGTCGTGCAGTGCGCGCCAAGAGTACGGTAAAGAGTACGGTAGTGCAGTGGTCATGCAGTGAGTGCCAAGAGCACGGTAGTGCAGTGGTCATGCAGTGCGCGTCAAGAGTGCGGTAGTGCAGCGGTCATGTAGTGCGTGTCAAGAGTACGGTAGTGCAGTGGTCGTGCAGCGCGCGCCAAGAGTACGATAGTGCGGTGGTCATGCAGTGCGTGCCAAGAGTACGGTAGTGCAGCGGTCATGCAGTGCGCGTCAAGAGTGCGGTAGTGCAGCGGTCATGTAGTGCGTGCCAAGAGTACGGTAGTGCAGTGGTCATGCAGCGCGCGCCAAGAGTACGGTAAAGAGTACGGTAGTGCAGTGGTCATGCAGTGAGTGCCAAGAGTACGGTAGTGCAGTGGTCATGCAGTGCGTGCCAAGAGTACTGTAGTGCGGCGGTCATGCAGTGCGCGCCAGGAGTCTCCCAGCTTGTTGAAGGATCTATTAGCAGACTTGCTCCAATTACCAGAGTAGCATCCGACGCGGCCGTTTTGGGGTGAACGTCGCTGAACTGCCCACTTCAAACGCCGTCACTACGGGGCAGGATGTCCCGTAGTCACGGCAGGATGGGCGGGGGGGGGATGCGTGCCAAAGGGAAGCTGCTGTACCGATCCGGGTAGGAATTATTTCCGTATTCATTCATCTATTGTAAAATAAATAGGCCTATCTTATTTCTTTCCATCAGCACTTAATACAGTGGTTCCTTTCAAGACGCACAACAGTGATCAAAATGGTGACCCTGAAAATCTGACCGGGCCCCGGTGACCTGACCCAGAGCATGTGACCGGTCACCGGTGACTTGACCCAGACCATGTGACCGGTCACCGGTGACTTGACCCAGACCATGTGACCGGTCGCCGGTGACCTGACCCAGAACATGTGGCCGGTCACCGGTGACCTGACCCAGAACATGTAACCGGTCACCGGTGACTTGACCCAGACCATGTGACCGGTCACCGGTGACCTGACCTAGAACATGACTGGCTGGTCTACAACGCGACTGAAGGCTGCAGCTCATTCATAAGCACCCTACACCTCGTCTGCGGCTGATGAGCGTCTAAAGCCACTGACGGTCACACGCCTACGCCTCGCCGTGTCGTGTGAGCCCGCTGCACCAGCGCCGCTTGTCGCGACTCGGTCCAGTAAGGGCCGCGACGACGTTCACACGTGAGTCGCATCTGATGGGGAGGTGGGGTTACCTGGCCATGAATCGCCGCACGGGGACCCGGGCGAGGCAGGGCAGGGTCTGAGAAAATCCCGGCTATGACTGTACGAGGAACGGCTATTAATCTCCTGTCATGGCATCGCGTCAAAAGGGTATGGACCGCGCCGCTTTGGATGTCCAGGTATTAGTGTCTGAGATTGCATTTGTGTGCTGAATGGGTCACGCACCATAAAAGAAATGTTTCGAAACTTCGCCTTGCAACGCGTGATTACTTTATTTGATCGGTTTATTGAGCACACCCTTTTCAGTCACGTGCCACCAGGTGTGGTTCTGGCGACCCAAATAACATGATAAGTTCAGTCTATGAATCAAGTTCTGTTGTAAAACATGAATTATGGCCGGCCCTAGAACACGTAAATGGAGGTGACAAGGACATCAACCGTGTCTGGCCTCATCTTGAACGGCCGGATGTGAGGCTCTTTCTCGCCCCTTCGAAGCTGATAAACAGATTTGCTCAAATATATCAGCGAACATTTCCTTGCCGCCCATTACGCTTACTAAAAGCCTACTAATCACAATCACGAAATTTCGAAACCGCAAGATAACCTTGCCACAAACATGGCCGCCGTTGCGCCATAATCCTCAACGCTCGACCTGCAACACATCTCCAGCGGTCACCTGCTGGTCTCCTGACACAGATCAACTGCTGGACCTGACATCAGATCCTCGACACAGGATCAGCACCAGGGCCTGGATCTGCTGTCAGCAGCCCGGACATGGGAGACCTCCGGCTGTGGCCCGGCCCGGGGTGACTGAAGCCGGGTTACAGCCCACACCGACCAGCGTCTGTGGTGTCTGGGCGCCAGGCACACCCGTCCCCAGCCGCCTGGCTGCCCGCGACCCCCTGACCTGACCCGACCTCTTGGTCGTCGGCTGTTAAAGGGAGTGTTTCACATTTGTATGAGGTTCTGAACTGAAATAGCCGTTTTGAAGATGATTCGTTGCAGTTCATGGCCCTGCCCTTTTAATACCTAAACCTCTTAGTTTCTGAGCAACATGCCTGCAAATATGTGCAGACTATATATATATATATATATATATATATATATATATATATATATATATATATATATATATATATCCTGCAGACTGCCTCAATGTCATCCAGACATTTATGACGTCATGATAACCTCATACAATGTGTGCGGAATATTTCGTGCAGATAATGCTTCGTTTCGATATTATTTCGTTTATTTCGTGCAAAATATGTGCAGACTACTTCATGCATACTATTTCAAGGTCATGCAGTAATCTATGACATCATGATAGCCTCACACAAATCATGTAATACACCGACCATGCGGCAATCAAGATAGAGAAAAGTATGATCGTCGAGCCGTTCGCATCCGGTGTTCGTAAGTGCCATTTTCAGATATAACGGCTGCCCATTGTGTCTCAATCAATGTTGTGCAGGACACGGTGATGCAATCAAACAAGGACGTATTGGGCACCATTTTTCCCAATAAAGAGATCGCGGTATCTAGAGTAGTCTGTTCCAGATAAAAAGTATTCCAACAATTGCGTGAGCTTATTTCACCATATCTGATGCTTGCTTCAACATCTTCAAATATGGAGGAGCTCTTTTAAGTTAATGATTGTCGTGTTTTTGTTTGGGTATTTGATCTACATCTTGTGATAACTTTCTTAGCAACACCAATCTTAATATTAGTTCTGCCGCACTATAAAATGACTTACTCTTTTAAAATGATGGACACAAAGCTTAGCAATGGAAGGGGGGGGGGGGTGCAGCTAAAACAATGTCACCAAAAAACAACTTAAGTGTGCCTCAGGTGTGCAAAATTCCGTGTCAGACTTATGCCATCGAATATTTTTCATTTTCTCCTCTGTACATGCCGGAAACGTTTAACTGTCAACATCTAGTCATTCGTATAATAATACATTTAATGGATTGGGTAAAAGGAGAGGCACGAGCCTTCTGGGCCGCTATATGAATATGGCCCTGCTTGGCTCTACGGATGATCCTAAATTTCACTCATCTCCAGTGCCATCTCGCTCCCTGACTCTATGTACTGTGATAGTTTCCTTTTCAGTCGCTCTTTTCGTAAAATAATCTTGTTTCGATAGTCACCAATGAAATCAGTCATCATTGGGTAGGTGGGTAAAGAACAAAATGTCATCGATGGCTATATAGTATTTTATTTTCACATGAATCACCGCATTGTAAACCAACTGCATTGTTGAAATTCGCTGAAATGATATTAAATCTCCATCGAAATCCAGTTTCTATCGCATAAATTTGCTTTGCTGGCTGCCGGTATTAACATGTGAGCACAAATCAAAGGGGAAAATGTTGACTGTACTTCGGTATGTCAAACTTCGACGCAGTTACGGAGAAGCATGCCCGGACGACAGCTCACGAACATCAAGGCCAAGAACACATTATCCTGCACTGCGAGCATCGCCATAATCACTGACAGACAAAGCCCGCACACCAGGCAGGTTCCAGGCTTCCATGGCTGGCCGGCGGTCGCGCCAGATATCAACCGAAATGCAGCGTACCAAAAAAGCAATTGAGTTAGCTCCAGAATGACGGATTTCAACAAATGCAAAGTTTATGAGGTAAAGCGCTGACGAGTGACTTCTGGTCTGGTCATTTCAGGCGCAATAGTGCATCTGTGTGAGCCCCGAGATTAGACTTCCGTTCGGGGCTGTTTGTATGACAAGAGTCTACTTCCTCATATCATAAGCAGCTGATCGAAAATGCCTATCAAATGACCATATTCGTAAGCTGAGAACGTCCCGTAGTCCCGCAAAGTGCTTTGGTTATATAACAACGTATTCACGGCAGATGCCTAGGTCAGAGGTCACCATGTCCATGCCCCTTGAACGCTGATGGTAGGAACATGGCAAGTGACAGGCGAACATACCTGGACCCCCTGAACGGGCATCCAGATTTCACCTGACAGATCAATTTGCAACTAGCAAATTAAGCTGTCTAGCTTCGTTCGCATTGGCACGGGGCCGCGTCGTGAAAAAACAGCACGGAGAGATCCCTCCAAACTGTTGTTGTCTGACTTCTGTTGACGTTCGCTTTCGAGCTAGCCTGACGACTGCATGTTAGCCGTCCACGCCTTGCACATGTCTGAGACGTGCCAGTGTACACCGGCCAGACTTCGCGCAGCATGACGTGGGCTGCCGGCGGCGCCCAGACAGCGGTCTCGACGTCCCAGCTGGGGGAGCGGGGCAGGGGAGGGGGGGGGGGGGGGGGGAGGGGACGCCGTCGGCTGGCCCAGTCCGGGTCTGGGCCGGTGCCCCGGCAGCCCGGTGCTCAGTGCGCCGCCAGCCCCGACGGCGTCCGTGCCAGCGCCAGAGCCGCCCCCGATGGAGGTCCGGTGCCTGCTCGCGTGCGTCCTGCTGGCGGTGCTGCTCCGGCCCGCCGGCGCCGCCGAGCGCGTCATGAGAGAGTGGCGCCGCGACAGAGGTGAGGGGTGGAGATGGGGCAGGTGAGGGGTGCTGATGGGGAAGGTGTGGGGTGCTGGTGGGGAGGGTGAGGGGTGATGATGGCCCAGGTGAACGGTGCTGATGGGGCAGGGTGAGGAATCCTGGTGGGCCAGGTGAGGGGTGCTGATGGGCCAGGTGAAGGGTGCTTGTGGGCCAGGTGTGGGGTGCTGATGGGGCAGGTAAGGGGTGCTGATGGGGAAGGTGAGGGGTGCTGATGGGCCAGGTGAGCGGTGCTGATGGGGCAGGGTGAGGAATGCTGGTGGGCCAGGTGAGGGGTACTGATGGGACAGGGGAGGACTGCTGGTGGGCCAGGCGAGGGGTGCTGATGGGACAGGTGAGGGGCTCTGACGGGCCAGGTGAGGGGTGCTGGTGGGCCAGGTGAGGATGCTGAGGGGCCAAATGAGGGGTGCTGATAGGATCAGGGGTGAGATGGGGTGGTTCGGGAGGGTGAGGGATTCCAATGGGGGGGGGGGAGGGAAGGGGGGGGAATGAAATGGGATGGCGGGACAGGGCCGAGCGGTCGTGATGGTACTGGAGTGAGCAGTGCAAACGTGCATGGGTGAGTGTGCAGTGTGAGACAAAGGTGGTACGCGATGGCGGACGGAGGAGATATTGGTGACATATCAGCGGCGAAAGGTAGTGATAGGACAATGGTAAGATACGACGCTGGGACCGAGCACAGAATGGCGTTAATTCTGGTGCAGGTAACAAGATGATATGTGATGCAGGGCAGGGGTGCGAATGGAGGCGGGATTCGGTGCAATATAGGGATGGGATGTGGTGCTGGACAGAGGTGAGATGTGTTGAACAGAGGTGGAATGTGTTGAAAAACGTGAGAAGTGTTGAACAGAGATGAGGTATGTTGCGTAGAGGTGAGATGTATACAGAAAATGATTGATTGGGTGGTAGTAAAAGACAACTTTGTGATAGCTGGAAGAAAACGGAAAAAAAACTGTGAGACATAATTTAAACGGAAATGGGACGGGCTTGAAATGAATTAGACAGCTCCACCAGCAAGGGTGGACCTTTTCATTTTCTCATCTCCACACCTATGGACAGTTATATGAGAAGCTGGTTGACATGCTACATTGCATGCGTTTTATATATATATATATATATATATATATATATATATATATATATTTACATGACGCACTAGATTTCACTGATGAGATAATAATAAAACCATAACACCAATCTTGGACATTTTTTGAAGCCAACTGATACCGGAAAGCCATTTACCTGATCCGGCGGACCGGGTACAAAAAGCAAATGGTATGCCAGCAGTGACTGCCTGCTTTAATCGTATTCACAATTACTTGACATAAATAAGACACGTACAATGACGCGGGAACGGGGGAGGGGGCAGTGGAGGCAACTCGCCCCTCCCTGACTTAAATGCTGGAGGGAGTCCCCCACACTTAGTGGACCTGTCCTGAAAAAGACTGTGGATTGTTGGATTGACTGTGGATCAACTGTGCATTGTTGGACTGACTATGGATCAGCTGTGGATTATTGTACTGACTGTGGATCAGCTGTGGATTGTTGGATTGACTGTCGATCAGCTGTGGAGTATTGGATTGACGGTGCATCAGCTGTGGATTGCCCATTACTCATGGTACATCAAAGGCTCCTTCTGGTCTTAAGAAGGTTCATGACGGCCTGTGAAGCACCATTATGACCTGAAGAGGGCTCATTATGACCTGTGGATGATCCAGTATTAACTGTAGAGGGCCAATTTTGGTCTGTGGAGGGCCCATTCTCGCCTGCTAAGGGCCCATTCTGACCTGCAGAAGGCCTATTGCCGACTGCAAGCTCCCTTCTGAGGGGATTCTGACCAGAAGAGAGCCCATCATTGAACTGTGGCGAGTTCATTTTGGTCCGTAGAGGGGCCCATTCCGATCTGTAATGAGCCCATTCTGACCCGAAGAGAGCTCATTTTGGTCTGTAGATGGCTCACTTCGATGTGTAGAGGACATATCATCGACTATGGAGGGCTCATTCTAGTTTGGAGAGGGGCTCATTCAAGCCTGATGAGGGCCATTCTATCCTGTGAAAAACTCATTCCGACTTAATGAGAGCTATTCTGACAACGTACAAGTCCCATTCTGAGCTTAATTGCCAAGTGGGTCTTTCTGACCCGTAGAGGGCCCATTATGGATTGTGGAGGACATATTTTGTCCCGCGGAGTGTCCATCCTTACTCTATCGGATACATTCTGACCTGAAGAGTGTCCATTATTGACTGGAAAGGACCCATTTTGGTATGTAGAGGGCGAATTCTGGTCTGTAAAGGGTCCATTCTGACCTGCATGGGAGTGTTCTGCTTGTAAAAGGCCCGCTTTTTAATCTATCGCGGTCTTTTGTAGCATTTTGGAATTGCCCCCCCCCCCCCCCAACTTGATCATAGCCCCCGCGTCCTTGTGCGCACGCCGAGTTGAGAGAAAAAAAAAACAAGCGTGTTCAAAGCAAAACTGGACACGTTTGACACTCTTGCCTGCGCTTAGATATCACACGTCAAAAACTGAGTGAATTAAACCAAGTAAATTTGGCGTCAACTAAGCCTTGATATGAATGTCAAGTATAACCGTGTGATTCCTTTCCAAAGACATCTTTATTTTAAATGTGGTGCTTTTTGTGGGCTGCGTTTTTGGTCACTTCCTATTTTTACTTATTATTTTGGACTATGTTTTTGTTTCTGGTTTTGAACATGTTTTTTGGATGGTGATGGAACAATTTCATCCTTAAAAGCCCAAAAGCTCTCGTTGTGCTATTTATGTTCTTCCGACGATGAGATATGGTCAAAAAACGTAAGAATTTACAGCTATGGGTGAGTCCTACAAGTGGTTTTGTACCAATCATCTTTCATCTTCATACTGTTAGGTCAAAAGCTCTGAATCTGAGCCCAGTGCAGCTGCGAGAACATTACAAATACATAACACGATTATAATGACATTATCTCTCGTTGAATGCCCTGCGGAAAAAGAGAGATGTATCGATATTTCGACTACAAGCCTCTGTCAAAGTAATTATACGCGATAACGTCAAATTTCAAAACCTCGATTCAAAAAACAATGTCCAAACTTTTGAATTTTGAATTTGCTGCCCATTTATTGTGTTTACAAAGTTTTGTTGCAGAAATATCAATACATTTTCTTTTTCAACCAGTTTTTCAATGTGCAGCGAGGCCACCACACTTATTTAGTTATGAAGTAATCGTTTTAGATGCCGGCTTCGTCATTTTTTCATGTAGCCAGCTTTCTCACCCATCTATCTCCGTCGTTTACTGTAACTGGCTACATGGCCAGGTACTGCTGATTCGAGCCTCTTCTGGTGTCATAATGCTCTGCGAAGTCTCCCGGACCTGCATAAGTTACCTTTTCATGCTGCCACGTTCTTGTTTATTTTTTCGAGGATACCCGGTATTTAACTACGTCATAATAGTCTGACTCTTGTTTGGTTACACCTTTAGCAAGATAAGTTTTCTTCCCCTCAATCTTTCGAAGGACAGGCCAAAAGGAGTCAGTTTCAGCAATGCTGCACGATTTCTAATAAAGCAAGGCACTCCCAACGGATGTAATGCGGGACGTGATATGTCATATGGTTCTCGGCGAGATGCTTAGATAATCACGACTCGATCCGAGACATCCGTAACAAATTGCCCAAACACGAAAAAGCTGGGGCTAAGGGACGTGATTTCCCACGTGTTATGAATTTATTCATGAGTCGTATGATGTTGCATAGAAAAATTGCTTAAACGGGTGTCTGAAGTCCACCTTCGTGACGCTTTCACGCCGAAGAAAATATATTTCATCGATCTTTATGCTCCTTTTCAGGCTTTGTTGATCAATCAAATAGTACAAGCGGGTCCAAAATGATAGTTGGATTATCCAGTTAAAAGTTTTTTGATACGCAAGGCTAAAAACAATATTAATATCAGTCAAAGGCAGGACATAATTGACGCAAGCACCCTCACCGCGGAAGAGCTCCATATTGTGGTTAGCCTGGTTGTGTCCAGGTCGTTTGTCCATGCTTACACCCAGTGGGTGATAAAGGGGGCATTTCATCACCCCGGCAGCAGCGACCATGGCTTCCTGGTTGGTTAACATTTCAGTTTTGCAGTCATTGTTTGCTGTTTTGGCTGCTGTAACCGTGACCATCTTTGTTTTGAAAAGCCCACCGGACCACGCCTGAATGGATGGGGTCGAATTATCGCTGTTTCCCTTGCGCGTCAGAGTCTCTTCTGACTAACAGCGCGATTGCTCACGCTATGAGCGAGCCGTCTCGGCGCCTGCCATTCGCATCACCGTGCTCATCTGGCATCGGAGGCGCAGCGCTGAGAGCCATCGCAACTGGGCGGCACTGTAGGCCGCATCACGAACGGGCGCGGTCGTCTGGGGGCTGGACCTCTCGCCGCCGGCCTGCGCCGGCTTCGTCGTCGCATCGCTCAGCTGGCGCTGGCGGCGTCTGCCAGACAGCGTGGCAGCCGCACGGCAGGTGACGACGGCTCGGCCCCGCTGGCACCGACCGGCCTGTCATGCACGGTGTACACCGGCCCGGCTGTCGACGTCGGCGCCGGTGCAACCGACGCCGCAGACGTAAACACTGCCCCCGTCGGGTGCTCCAGGAATCCCGCACCTCAACGAGGCGATTGCGAGCGACGGGCCGGAGCTGCGGCTTTGGTGCGGCGGCTCTTCCAACTTCCCGTTATCAACCGGGGTGGAAATGACCTCGGTGCTTTTCCGTGCACATCTTACCTCAGCACACAAGTGTTCCAAGAAAACATGCCGCAGTCCAAAGTAGCTGGTTACGGGCTGCGATTCTGGAGTCCTGATGTGCCCTCTGCACCGACCGCATTGTCAGCTACAGCGACGCTCCACGTCAAAACGATGACAGTGTTTATTAAACTGCAACTTGTATTTACCCTGTGTCTATGTTAGTCCGTCTGGGAATGTGTAGCTAACAACACCGGGCTCATGATCCCTCGCCACAATGGTCCGCAGGCTATTTCAGCTCGCCTGTGTTCAAACCAGCCGTGGACGGGGAACGGCGGCCGGAGATGCGCGGCTCTCGTCGCAGCAGACCGCAAATATTTTGATAGCGTGGCTACTGGCGATCCGTTTGTTGACGGGTCTGGCTGGCCAGGAGAGCCGGGCCCGTCAATGGCGGCATCATCTCAATGTGTGCCGCCGTCCCAGCATTGCGCCATTGATCAGTGCATGGCTGGTGTCTAGGCGGCAGGCTGCTGGCTGTTGGTTCCATCACCCCAGCTTCAATCACCCCACCCCACCCCATCTGAGAGCGTCTGTAATGTCCGGCAATGCTGCTGACATCAGCTGCTGGGTCGTGCTGGATCTCTCAGCCGCCGGAGGGTCGGGTAGAGATAAAGCTCTATGCGCGTGATCAAGGCAGGTAGACGACTAGGCTTCATATCACATCAAATGTGCCCCCATTTATTTGAACCGAAAACTGTGAAAGTCTGTTTTTGTGTTTCTTAAGTCTCAGTTGATATATTAAATTTGAATATTCTGCCGCTTCCTTTCATCACCGCGTTGTCAAACAACATGATTCATGGAAAGTCATGCATTTCTTAAGCAGTGCACACTTCACACTGATGTCCATTACACGTTGCCCTCTGTCGTCACCCAGCCTGCTTAGTCAGGTCTTGCAATCTTGGACAGATCTGCGAAAGAACCCATCAGCGGTGACAGCGTCACAGAAGCCGTCATGAGCATGAACTCGCCTACACTAGCCGTCTCTTGTACACAAAACACTAGCCTTCTCCTGGCGGCCGCTGCGTCACCCGCAGTCCTCGGTGTCCAGTTGTGTTCGGTTGACTGCCTCCTGGCGACCGCTGCGTCACCCGCAGTCCTCGGTGTTCAGTTGTGTTTGGTTGACTGCCTCCTGGCGACCGCTGCGTTACCCGCAGTCCTCGGTGTTCAGTTGTGTTCGGTTGACTGCCTCCCGTCAGTCGCTGCGTCACCCGCAGTCCTCGGTGTTCAGTTGTGTTCGGTTGACTGCCTCCCGTCAGTCGCTGCGTCACCCGCAGTCCTCGGTGTTCAGTTGTGTTCGGTTGACTGCCTCCTGGCGACCGCTGCGTCACCCGCAGTCCTCGGTGTTCAGTTGTGTTCGGTTGACTGCATCCTGGCGACCGCTGCGTCACCCGCGGTCCTCGGTGTCCAGTTGTGTTCGGTTGACTGCCTCCCGTTAGTCGCTGCGTCGCCCGCAGTCCTCGGTGTTCAGTTGTGTTCGGTTGACTGCCTCCCGTCAGTCGCTGCGTCACCCGCAGTCCTCGGTGTTCAGTTGTGTTCGGTTGACTGCCTCCTGGCGACCGCTGCGTTACCCGCAGTCCTCGGTGTTCAGCTGTATTCGGTTGACGTCACTATAACAGTGTTAGCAACAATAGACAAATGACTGTACTATTGCCCTATTTACCGCTGGCAAAACACATAACATCTAGATATGTTATGTGTTATGTGTTTCTGAAGAGCTTCAGAAGCCAACAGAGTGAAAATTTAATGAGAAGAGCCGCTCACACATTTTTTTCCGACCAGCGCAGTTTAGCTGCATTGAGAGCATTTTTCACATTGATGGTATCCCCGTCACGGTACCCCCGTCTCTGGCGGCGCCTCTCGTTCCGCTGTAAAGATGCTCACCCAGACCCGGTCACCGAAGCCAAGCCGCACAGCTCCCTCACGCGGCGCTTCCCGTTCCGCTGTGGAGACGTTCACCCAGACCCGGTCACCGAAGCCGAGCCGCGCGGCTCTCTCACGCGATGCCCCCTGTTCCAGCGCCCAAACTCTTTGGTGACAAGGTGGCCGGCTGGCAGCTGGACGCCCGCTCGCCGAAGGTGCAGCGCAAGCTGACACACTTCCACAACCGCTTCAGGAGCCGCGTGAAGCCCCGCGCCGCCAACATGCTCAAGATGGTGAGTGCTGGCCCTCTTGTGCCCTGCTAGCGCCTGGGGATGGACACGGGCAGCGACACATGGAGGTGTACGTGGGTGGAGGTGATGTGGCATCATCGCTCCGGTAGGAGCAGGGACGTGTATAACGTGACGGTAGTACTGGCAGGCGCAGGCTCACCAGTGCTGGTGGGTAAAGGTCTGGTCTTACCACCACTATGCTGGCGCTGGCAGACGTCAGTGCTGGTGGGTAAAGGTCTGGTCTTACCACCACTATGCCGGCGCTGGCAGACGTCAGTGCTGGTGGGTAAAGGTCTGGTCTTACCACCATTATGCTGGCGCTGGCAGACGTCAGTGCTGGTGGGTAAAGGTCTGGTCTTACCACCACTATGCCGGCGCTGGCAGACGTCAGTGCTGGTGGGTAAAGGTCTGGTCTTACCACCACTATGCTGGCGCTGGCAGACGTCAGTGCCGGTGGGTAAAGGTCTGGTCTTACCACCACTATGCTGGCGCTGGCAGACGTCAGTGCCGGTGGGTAAAGGTCTGGTCTTACCACCACTATGCCGGCGCTGGCAGACGTCAGTGCTGGTGGGTAAAGGTCTGGTCTTACCACCATTATGCTGGCGCTGGCAGACGTCAGTGCTGGTGGGTAAAGGTCTGGTCTTACCACCACTATGCTGGCGCTGGCAGACGTCAGTGCCGGTGGGTAAAGGTCTGGTCTTACCACCACTACGCTGGCGCTGGCAGGTGGGATGGCCGGCGCCGTTGTGGTGGGGCTCATAGCGGATGTCCCGGCACTGTCACAGTGGGTGGTCACCAAAATATCGAATACCCTTATGTTACGGTGTATTCAGGACTGCACACGATGTTCAGATGGCCTCTATGGTGCTTGAAGTGCTCTCACTAGGAGCTATCTAGGCCTGGCACAGTCAGACTTGGAGTTTGACGTGATTGTTGGCCCTCGTCCAATGCATTAGATAAGCGGCTTTGTCTCGACCACCTCCGATCGGTCCTGGGGCAAGGACAGGGAGGGGAAGGGAGGGAGCAGGGAGGTGGACAGGGGACGGGTTCAGGGAGGGGCGGGGGGAACGGAGCAAGAGGAGGTGGGAGCAGTGAGGGACAAGGGGTACGGACCGATAGGGGGTGGGACCAGGAAGGGACAGGGACAGGGAAAGACAAGGACAGGGGTAGACGCAGGGAGAAGCAGGAGTTAGGTAGGGGGCCGGGGGCAAGAGGGACAGGGGTCGCAGGGTCCAGCACGCCCGGCCGTGTCCACCGGCCGTCTCCGGTCGCGGCCGTGCTGCCGTGCAGGGCAGTGGGCGCCACGCTGTTGCAGGCTGCCCGGACGGCGGCCGGGGCGTGTCTAACGCTCGCCTGGCGTCCCTTGCTCAGCAGCGGCGCATGGTCCCAGCAGCTGAACGGGCCGGGACATCCAGACGCGGCTTTTGCCTCGTTTCTGTCCATGGAACGCCGTGAGTTTAGTGATGGCCTTCTTCAAAGATGGGGACAGGCAATCCTTGCTGCCCCCTGTTGGCCGCTGCCGCTACACCTGAGCTCCTGCCGATGTGGGGCACTCGACGCCGTCAGTGCGGCGACCGGAGCCCGGTTCGGCCGCTGTTGCACACAATGGCGCCGGTGTTGCCTGCTGTCAGCAGCCGACCCCCCCCCCCCCGCCCCCGCCCCCTGACCGGCGGTCTGCCGCCAGCTGGTGAAAGAAGCCGCGCGGCTGGCAACAAATGGTGTCGAGACTCCAGGCCGCCGAGTCATTTGTATTGACTGAAGGAGCCGGTCGGGATGATCAGCAGAAGTGTCGGAGCAGCTCACGCTCATGCACGGGCTTCGTTAGAAACAGACTTCCGCCAGCTCGAAATGGGCAGCCCGAGTGGCTCGCAAAGCACGCTTCAATTCAGCGGGGAGATCCGCCCCAGACCTGATGACGGGGAGCGATGTCTGTTGGCAACGGGTCCCCTCCTGGAAATACCATTATAAACCGCGCCTCGGGACTCATTTTTGCGCGAATTCTCGGCATGGCTGTGATGATGAGTATTAGAAATGAAATGAGATGACCCTGAGACGATACAAATATACTGCTGCAGCCTACATTTTGTCACTGCATGCAAATTTACTCTATTCGCACATCGGGGTTTTGTCGGCATGGTGACAAAACAGGCGCCTAACTTTCTGGACATCCGCCAAGCCTGCCACTTGCATTTGGCACCGACACCGCTAAAAGCTCCGCTGTCGGACGTAAACATGGACGCTTGCACTTGTCAGGCCCACAATCAGTCAGACACGCCAAATACAACGACAGAGCAGCGCCACCTCGGCCGCGTCAATGTATCGCGATCACCAGCCCGTGCACGCCACGCTCGACCGACGTGCAAGCTTCTGTGCAAGTGGCCCAATTAACGAGGTGCTACCGACAGCGTCAGCGTTTTTAGAGTCGTCTGTGGTGAATGGAGTTATCAGCGGGCTTAGCGACGGGCCTGCTGCCGACTCTAGCAGTACCTGCTGCTCGAACGGAACTGTACCCGGGAATTCGCACGGCACGCCTGCTGCCGACTCTAACAGTACCTGCTGCTCGAACGGAACAGTACCCGGGAATCCGCCCGGCACGCCTGCTGCCAACTCTAGCAGCACCTGCTGCTCGAACGGAACAGTACCCGGGAATCCACCCGGCACGCCTGCTGCCGACTCTAACAGTACCTGCTGCTCGAACGGAACGGTACCCGGGAATCCGCCCGGCACGCCTACTGCCGACTCTAACAGTACCTGCTGCTCGAACGGAACAGTACCCGGGAATCCGCCCGGCACGCCTGCTGCCGACTCTGACAGTACCTGCTGCTCGAACGGAACAGTACCCGGGAATCCGCCCGGCACGCCTGCTGCCGACTCTAACAGTACCTGCTGCTCGAACGGAACAGTACCCGGGAATCCGCCCGGCACGCCCGCTGCCGACTCTAGCAGTACCTGCTGCTCGAACGGAACAGTACCCGGGAATCCGCCCGGCACGCCTGCTGCCGACTCTAGCAGTACCTGCTGCTCGAACGGACCAGTACCCGGGAATACACACGGCACGAGCGATGGCGTCCCTCCTGTCGGGGCCAACACCTTGCACACCTCTGCCCCGGCGCCACGCAAACCTAAAGCCGCAGCAGGCACCAGCTCTGCCGCCGCCACGCCGTCGGATCCAGCGGCCTCGGCGGTGCCGTCGGTGGCCAGGCCGGACCGGTGGAGCTTCGCCGCCGGTGACCTCGCCCGGGGTCAGCACCACGCCGGCGGAGACGGCTCGTCGCCCGTCTGACGCAGCACCGCTGACGCCTTATACGTGGGCGCTGCTGACGCGCGCGCTTCCCGCTGTTGCCCAAGCGGCCGCCGTCGGGGTCACCAGCGCCGCGACCCCGAAGGCTGCCGCTCCCAATACGGGCCGGGGCAACTCTTTGCCGCGAGGCGGCGCGGCGGAAGGCCCCGGGCGGCGCAGGCAGGGAGGTCAGAGTCATTACCGGATACCCGTGCGGGCGGGCGGCTCGGTGACGGGACATAGGCTTATTGATGGGAGTTCAGGAAGACATGAGAGGTGGCACAGCACAGCGCACAGCGCAAGCTGACGGGGAACTGAGAATTGATGGCACAGCACAGTCCTTCACCTTACATTTAAAACTATGTCGGGCACAATTTGAGGTGGTTTGGAAGGTCCCTCGAGCCTTGCCTATTGGTCTTGTGTGTTATTACGCCCGTTGGTGCAAAGGGAAAAACATGACAAGCTATGCACAATAATGTCGCCCCTTGACGCTGTTGCGAATAATCTCAGCGGCGGCGAAGCGTCGTGAACACATATTCTACGAACCCTGTTGTATGTAAGAGCACATGGCGCCCTGCGTCTCGCGTCGCCTTTCCAGACAGCTCACGGAGCCCCACGAGTTACCCGCCGGTATGCGTGTGTATAGTGAGCTGGCGCCTTCTGTCACCTCCAGAGCTGGCACAGGGGTGCCGCCAAGGACGCCCAGGTATGGGCTGAGGAATGCCAGCTGTTGGTACACGCCAATGATACGGGCAGGTGGCAACAGAACTTCGGTGCTTGCGGCCAGAACATCTTCGTCTCAACGCACAAAGTGCCGTGGTATGTATTTGCTTTACTTTTGGTCCTTTTCTCCGCTCTTCTTTTTGTCTTCATGTTCCTCGAAGCAGTGAAAGTGCACATGCTTTATTCATATGGACCTAATCTGACTACAACTAATGGTAACTGCCAGAAGTGAAAACGGATTACGTCTTGACGTCCTGTTGTCCTAGAACGCGACGGCAAATGCCATGGCTGTACAGAACCGCTTGAGACCACACGGGGCCAGACGATTGTTAACAGCTGGACTGGTGATTTTGTAACGAGCTGGATACGATACACTCGGAGCCAGCGCACTTGTTTCAATAATTTACGAAGCTCCGGAACACCTAACACACGATTTTCCCAACGCTTTCTGCCTGCAACTACAGGTACTTTGCCATTAAGAGCTGGTTCTTGGAGAAGGACATCTTCCGGTTCGGTTCAAGCAAGAACAACCTTACGGAAGTCGGTCACTACACCCAGATGGTATGGTACTCCACGCATAAGGTGGGGTGCGCATGGACCTTCTGCAAGAACGCCAAGCCCACTCCGTACTACAACTACGTCTGCAACTACTGCCCCACGTGAGTGCAACTCACTGACAGATGTTTCACGCTGTCGCCCATTCATTCGTTATCTGCTACGCCACAGCTCACAACTGACGATATCGTCAGGTATTCGGCAACCATATGCGGAACAAAAGGTGATCAGCTGATGTTTTACGGGTGGTGAAGAAACTGCTGCCAGCCTTAGGCCGTGTGCCACGAGGGCATTGGGTTAGAAACTCATAAATGGATGGTATATTTAACCATAACTTAACCTGCAAAACAGCAGATGAAAACGACCACGGTGTTTGCAAATGTTTGCTTTATTCATTCGCCATTCGTTTTCGGTTCAACAACAAACCCTCGTGCGATCCTTAACCAGATCATGCCATCTATCGTGAGACAGCTGACCACTCCACGCGCTGTTGTGACCGCATCGCCCCCATGTAACACCCCGCCGCATGTAGCGCTCCTGACCTGGCGACACCAATCCCAGTTCAGCACCTTTGACCTGATCCCGCTATCCCCATGACAGCCCCCCCCCCCCACCCCACCCCACGTGACCGGCCCACGTGACCGACAGCGGCAACTACGTGGAGCGTCTGGGTCGGCCGTACCAGCCAGGCCGGCCCTGCAGTCGCTGCCGGCGCTCCTGCAACAGCAAGAAGCGGCTGTGCACCAACTCGTGCCCGTGGTCGGATCGTTGGAGCAACTGTGCCCAGCTGCGCCGGCTGGACAGAAACTGGACGTGCCGGACGCGCGGTAAACCGGCCCGCGCCTGCCGCGCCACCTGCCGCTGCCACAACCGGGTCCACTGACAGGTCACGACACCCGCGGCCGGGGCGGTGATCCGTTGCAGGGCCCGCGGCTGGGGCGGTGCCAGGTCATTACGCCCGCGGCTGGGGCGGTGCCAGGTCATTACGCCCGCGGCTGGGGCGGTGACCCGTCACCCCGTCCGCGGCTGGGGCGGTGACCCGTCACCACGCCCGTGGCTGGGGTGGTGATCTGTCACCACGCCCGTTGTTGAGGTGGTGACCTGTCACCACGCCCGCGGCTGGGGCGGTGATCTGTCATCACGCCCGTGGCTGGGGGCGGTGACCCATCACCGCGCCGGCGGCTGGGCTAATGATGTGCTATACTAGCGAACGTCACCGCATCCGCGGCTGGACCCAGTGATGGGTCATTCTCACCGGCTGGTCAGTCACTGGTACCGTAGACAACCGTGTCAGACGGCTAAAGACTGGCACGGCATCGATAGCCGTTAGCCTCCTGCATCAGTCCAAAACCGCGGAATGGAAAATCGTTGAGTGTGGATGTCACAACTTATTTGAGGCAAGGAGGTACGTTCCTGTCTCCCAAGTCTTTGCACGATCACGGCCAAAGCAGGAACATTTGGAAGAATGAACAGCTGACAGAAGACATCCGAAAAATAAATATTGGATGGACGGCTATTTAAAAAAAAATCACTTTACGCATCACGCCATTGATTATGTTCATGAATAGTGCCCGCGGCCTATGTTTGGCACCTTTGATGCTCCAAACAGCCCTCAGTTATCGTCTGGCCTTATGCTCTCATGACAGGCTGACTAGCCGGCCGTTGTCGTACTCGCACAAGTTCTAGGGGTGATTAGCCGTCAGAGGTTTTTAAACATCGGACACAGCGCTGCAAACATAAACATGAAACGAGTTCAACATAGTTCCAGTCTGCCTCAGAAGTGCACTGCACCCAGGGCAGCGCAGCAAAGCCATGAATACGTCGCTGCACACTGCCCAGCCCGTGGTTTATTGTAAGGTCACCTCGTGTACAGCCTGCACCTGTGACGTCATGTATCGGCGTTCCGTGCCAAACGGTCTCGCTGGCGCGGGCGACCTTTCCGTATTCACTGCCACCGTGCGAGAAGCGGGAGACTCTCAGCGACTCTGTTCTGCTGCCATCCCTCAGTGAACATATGATCTAGACGGACGTTGGTGCAGGCTAGTAATATGAGCCGGCGGCGGATGCGGCCCTAACAGTGATACGACTGATGGTGAAGGGCAGGCTGCGCTGATGCTCTCTGCATTAATTATCCCCCGGAAAAAGCTATAGCGTGAGTGGCCGGGCTCCTGGATGTTTGACCTTTCTTTCCCAGCCAGCTTGTCGACTCATCTGCCAACAGCCCTTGCACCGGCATGGCAACACACACAGCTGGTCGGAGGGAGCCGGCTGCACGCCCCCCGAGCCCGCGCCGCTCCTCCCGTGCCGCTCCGTGCAGTCGTGAGCCGCGGATGCGCCCCTCCCTCCCCCGTACACCTGCTGCTGCAGCGGCAGCCGGTGTGGCGCCGTCCTCCTGGCACCGCCTCCGCAACAGCTGTCGCACGGCCGGCCGTGCAGGCCCGCCTCGCCGGAGACCATTACCCGGCCTCAGCAGTGCAGGGCTAATGGTGCCGCTGCTGCAGAAGGCAGGCGCACCTGTGCAGGGCTCGCCTGGCCATTTGTCGGGCTCGGCTGCAGCGTCTGGCGGCCCCTGACCGGTCACGTCCAAAAGCGGCGGCGGCACTCTCTGTCAGCGCATGCCGGTAGCTTCTTTCATTGTGCAGGCTGGCTCCCTGCCCCGATTCTTCATTGTGGGGTCATGTCTGCGTCAACACGCGCGCTGTAGAGGCTGCTAAGAGCAATGGGGTCATGTTAGTGTCGATATGTGCATTCTGGAGACTGCTGGAGCAATCATTAGGACCGTGCTCGTGCCAACACGTAGGTTGTAAAAGCTGCTGGGGGCTCGCGACGTGGACGCCGTGCACGATATCTCGTCGTGAATCCGTGCCTGCCACTAGTGTGTGATAGCCGTGCTGGCCGCGGCTTGGCTGACGATGTCTGCGATTGATCTTGAATGGCATCCGAAGGCCACTGGCCTCAGGTCCGGGCCGTTGCTGGCCATGAGATCAACTCCTGCTGTGATTTTGGGGCTTTGAGGGGCCGACGCGTGGTCGGCGGCGAGGGACGTGAGTGGGGCTCGCGATGATCGCCTGATTTATGGGGGCGTGACACCACGCGGCGAGGACGGCCGTGACTGGCCGGGCCGCTTTTTAGTGCGCGGTCGCGAAGGCTGGTACTATGCACGAGACTGTTGGTGCGTGTTACACGAGGAAAACAGGAGGATGGTGGACTCGAGCCTGTGACGTGCGCTCTGGTCCGCCGGAGCGCGTGTGTGACGGCATGACGCGTGACCGTAATCACGCTCGTGCTCGTGGTGCGCGTGTGCGAGGCCGCTGTGCGGTCGTTTCGTCCCGGAGCGCCGGCTCCAGTTGCAGCCGTGTCTCCTCAGCCTTCGCATGTAGTGTGCAATTTCCACTTGAGGCTCTTATCTGGCCCTATCGAGCAGACTGTGGCCGACCAGACCCGCCTTTGTACTCTTATCTCTGCATTCATTGTGAATACAGCCGACGTCATTGCGCCCTGTGATTGAACACGACGCCGGTCGCTAATTTGGCGTGGGTCGGACGACACTCCCCCCGCTGCACTCTGCACGGCCCTGAGCGGAGGCCATCGCTCCACCAGGCGGGCGCTCCAGACAGGGCGGCTACGGCGGTCCAGACAGGGCGGCAACAGAGGTCCAGACAGGGCGGCGACGCGGTCAAGACAGGGCGGTGACGGCGGTCGAGACAGGGCGGCTACGGCGGTCCAGACAGGGCAGCAACAGAGGTCCAGACAGGGCGGCGACGCGCTCAAGACAGGACGGCGACGGCGGTCCAGACAGGACGGAGATGGCGGTCCAGACAGGGCGGCAACGGAGGTCCAGACAGGGCGGCGACGGCGGTCCAGACAGGGTGACAACGGCGGCCCAGACAGGGTGGCAGCGGCAGTTCAGACAGGGCGGAGACGGTGGTGCAGACAGACTGGCGGTGATGGTCCAGACAGACCAGCGATGGTCTGGACAGGGCGGTGGTGGAGGTCTAGACAGGGCGGCGGCTAGCGGTTCAGACAGAATGAAAGAAGCAACACATCACCCCCGGCGCTCTTGCAAGCACAGAGCATCGCGGCACGGTCGGGCTTTATTCGAGCCATTCAGTTGGAGGCGTCTTGCAGCCGTCTGGAAGCAAGTGGGAGCAAATAGCCGTGTGTGTATCTGCCTGACTGCGGCCGCGACAGGCGAGCAGGGATGTGCCCCGCTGACAGGCGAGCGGGGATGTGCCCCACTGACAGTTTGTGATCGGCTGGTGACAGACGCAGCCGCGACAGCCGAGCGGGGATGTGCCCGCTGACAGTTTGTAATCGGCTGGTGACAGACTAGTAACAGTCATTGGCCATGGATCGACCGCAGCCACGTCTCCGTCTCTCCACTAGTGGTGTTCGACGGTGCCGCTGCACGGACGTTTGGCAGCTAACTCGGTTGTGCATCAGCTCACCGGCACCGACGCGGTCGGCAACAGCTTCGGAGGGAGCGACCTTAACCCGTTCACCGGACCCGAGGGGAGGGTGAGCCCTCCCCTGATCCGAAACCTGCTCGCCGGCTAAAACACCCTGACCTGTCGTCGAAGTCCGGCTGGGGTCGATTCGTGACAGGACGCGAGTGGGCGGCGACCTTGCCACGGCCGCCGCGCGGCCTGCCGTCTCAGAGGCGGCGTGCCGCCGGCCACTGGCCAGTACCACTGCCAGGTGCTCGCTCGCGGGGCGGGCGGCCGCGGCCGCGGGGCGGGCGGGGGCGGGCCGCCGGCCGGCCAGGCCGAGCGCCAGTGAAACCCGACGGCGCACGGGCCGGCCGGCCGTAAACAACAGGCACTGGGCGCCGCCCGGCCCGACTGGAGAGCCGGCTGGAGATAACGTCAGGTCACAACAGCGGCATGTCCCTGCCCTGGGGGGCTTGTTCAGGTCACAGAAGCAGTGCCCGTGCCCTGTGGGCTTGTTCAAATCACAGCAGCAAGTCCGTGCCTTGGATGCTTGTTTAGGTCATAGCAGCTGTGTCCATGCCCCGGAGGCTTGTTCAGGTCACAGCGACAGTATTGGTGCCCGGGGGCTTGTTCAGGTCACGGCAGAAGTGTCCGTGCCCTGGGGGCTTGCTCAGGTCACAGCAGATTCAGCATGTGCTTCGGAGACTTCTTCAGCCTCGACCGCGTCGCGGATGGGAACCAAGTAATCATTTTGTCATGTAGCGCTGCACCCAACAGAATATTACTGTCGCCACATTCCATAAGCGCGATGCCCTCGGTCAGAGGCGCTGTCGACGCCCGAAAGCGTCGTGTTGTTGGGAGCGGCTGGAGCCCAGCGGTCTGCCCAGCTCCAGCTCGGTCGTGGAGGCGGGCCGGGCCGGTCTGCTGTCGGCCGGAGGAACGTTTGCAACGCTAACTGCCTGTTGCCAGGCGACGGGACGAGCTCAGAACCACTTTGAGAGACGGGAGGAGAGGGCTGGGAAGGCGGCCAAGACCACGCTGGGGAGGGAGGGCACGTAAGGCATGTGAGGCGCAAAACTCGGCAACTGAATGGAGGATGTCGTTCGGGAAAAACAGCAAGGTACTTACGGCTTTACGTGATTCAAGAGCTCATCACCGACAGGAATTCATCCCGCCAAGTATGAACGATACACCAAGCGGACAAAAGCAGGCATATGGTTTACACTGCCCGGTCCCATGGCAGCGCCGATCAGATGCAGGGGCATGTAAGCAGCGGCAAACGGGTCTGTTCGGTTCACCGCGACACTGTTCAGCTTTGATGCAAGGCGTCGCTAACTTCAGGTAGTCCCCCCACCCAGTGTGAAAATGGAGTGCTCCATTCAGGGCACCACTGGTGCGGCGCTCGGACCAAGTCTCCGACACCGCGCCATCACTGTCGGTACCTCAAACATGGGGATTGCTGTCACGTGTGCAGCACGGGTGACGGCACTGCATTATGCATACCAAACAGAGGACCTTCTGATGTCAAACGATGGCCCATTGTTACGGGACGAGCAGTGTCGCGGACTCAACCGGGGGCACCGATCCTCCGCCAACAATACTGAGCTCCTGTTACCGGCACCGATCCTTCGTCAGCGACACCGAGCTCCCGTTACCAGCACCGATCCTTCGTCGGCAGTACAGAGCTCCCGTTACCAGCACCGATCCTCCGCCAACAATACCAAGCTCCTGCTACCAGCACCGATCATTCGTCAGCAGTACAGAGCTCCCGTTTCCAGCGCCGATCCTTCGTCAGCAGTACAGAGCTCCCGTTACCAGCACCGATCCTCCGCCAACAATACCAAGCTCCTGTTACCAGCACCGATCATTCGTCAGCAGTACAGAGCTCCCGTTTCCAGCGCCGATCCTTCGTCAGCAGTACAGAGCTCCCGTTACCAGCACCGATCCTCCGCCAACAATTCCGAGCTCCCGTTTCCAGCACCGATCCTTCGTCAGCAGCATAGAGCTCCCGTTACCAGCACCGATCCTCCGCCAACAATTCCGAGCTCCCGTTTCCAGCACCGATCCTTCATCAGCAGCATAGAGATCCCGTTACCAGCACCGATCCTCCGCCAACAATTCCGAGCTCCCATTTCCAGCACCGATCCTTCGTCAGCAGCATAGAGCTCCCGTTACCAGCACCGATCCTCCGCTAACAATACTGAGCTCCTGTTACCAGCCCCGATCCTTCGTCAGCAGTACGAAACCACCATCAGCAACACAGCTCGAAAGGTAGCAGGCACCGGCGGGTTTCAGAGATCCCCATCAGCAGAAATAGAAATTGCCACCCATTAACTCGTCGAGCTTTTAATAATCAGAAAAAAATGTCCGTCCCTCCCCAATCTCTCCATCTTTATTTCTTTCCATTGACTTTGATGTGGCCGCTGGCGCTCAGTCAGCTCTAAGTTCCCAGCAACGGCTCTCATCCCTCTCCCCCTGTCCCGCCGCCGCAGCTGATGCCGTGGCACACGACTCGTGATGATCGCTTTGCGAATGTCCCACCTTCCGTCGCGATACCTCGGGAGCATCTCCCGTTCCGTGGCCCGCCGGACCGCCGCGCGCTCGCCAGCTCGGAGTCCGGGTATCGTGGACGGCCGTTACTGAATGACAGGGGGGGGGGGGGGACTCAGACGGCTGGGGCAGGTGCAGGGTGGTCCCGCGTGAGAGTCGGGGGCTGTTCGGACATCCGTGAAGTGCGTCAGCTGAAGCACACACGGGGGCTATGAAAACACACGCCCAGAACGTCTGGCCGTTTATACAGCATGTCCGTGAATGAAGGGGATCTGAGAGTCGCAGGACGTGGATATTTCAGGATATCGATATTTATGCATATGGATGTTTTAGATTGAGCGATTATTCGGGACTATTGTGCTCACCAATCGCGTCACCAAAGGTACGTAATTACTATTTAAAACAGTTAAATAAATATTTTCAACACCACTGAAAATCACAAGTCACAACGCTCGAAATAACGAGGATAATAGCATAATGTGTACATGTATATTTCATCATGAACGATTTGTGAGTCACGAGAGCCGGTCATTGGGAGTGAACTCATAGCAGGCGTACACATGCTTCAAGAACATATATTATTCGCACACAAAAGTATGGAGTATACGATCATGCCCATTTATCTGCACAATAAATCAGGGTAAGCGCACAAGTTCAACACCTTTGCTCATTCATGCAATAAATATTCAATGCAAAGTGACCGCACCTACAACATAAATATTCAGTATCGCGAGATTACAAGCATACTGCATCGGTCCGCCATCACTCAGTCAACCGAAACAGCCGCCTAGCACCGGTACACGAGCAGTGTGGTCTCATTCACCGCCGGGTACACGTCCTAGATCGCCGACAACGCAGACGCACGCGCCTTCTGCTCTGATCAACTCCCGTGCGCCGGCGCTACAGCACGACCGCGCATTGCACGATGGTATGCACCACAAACCGGAGGAGCACCGCGGAGCGGTGTCCGGACAGCCCGCGGTTCGTGCTATCGCCTGTCAGTGGACTCGCGGCGCACGTCCGGGTCTCGAGCCAGTGACGGCCGCCGCTAGAGCGGCCCGCGCGCTGCTGGTCCCCTCCTTCAGAGCATCGCGTCCTGTGGGACTGTTCCGCAAGCAGAGCAAGAGCGAACAAGCGGAACTGTGGAATGAGAACTCGCTCCTCCTCCCCTCCGAGACTCACCCGTCCCTCTGGCGGGAGGCGGCACGGTGCTGCGCTCTTCCGTCACGTGACGGTGCATCAGTACACCGTTGGCACACATGCGTACAGTCACGTGACGGGCACCGCCGGAGCATCCGCTGTCTGTGGGCGAACCACCGCGTACCACGGAGAACGCCGCCGGCGCATCAGACGCTGCCGGTGCGCGCTGTGAGTCTCTCTGACGCGCCATCGGACGAAGCTGGTGAAGGATGGCGCCGGCTGATCCCATTGCGGCGGCACCAGCCCCAGCTGCCTCCACGCGCCGGTCCGCACAGTCGACGCAGTACATCGGACGCCATCCTTCTCTCTCCAGGATAGCATGGTTGCCAGCCGCCCTCAGCTGCCCGGACGACCCAGGTGCGCGGCTGCTTGTCTCGTCCTCAGGCACTTGGGCTGTCCTCGCCGCTGCAGCCGGCGGCCGCCCTCAGCTGAGCGGCGGCTGCAGGGCGTCTGGGCCAAGCCGGTCCGTGATCACCTGCTCACTGAGCCGCCGCAGCTAGCCGCCGCCCTCAGCTGAGCGGCGGCTGCAGGGCGTCTAGGCCGAGCCGGTCCGTGATCAGCTGCCCACTGAGCCGCCACCCTCAGCTGAGCGGCGGCTGCAGGGCGTCTAGGCCGAGCCGGTCCGTGATCAGCTGCCCACTGAGCCGCCACCCTCAGCTGAGCGGCGGCTGCAGGGCGTCTAGGCCGAGCCGGTCCGTGATCAGCCGCCCACTGAGCCGCCACCCTCAGCTGAGCGGCGGCTGCAGGGCGTCTGGGCCGAGCCGGTCCGTGATCAGCTGCCCACTGAGCCGCCACCCTCAGCTGAGCGGCGGCTTGCAGGGCGTCTGGGCCGAGCCGGTCCGTGATCAGCCGCCCACTGAGCCGCCACCCTCAGCTGAGCGGCGGCTGCAGGGCGTCTGGGCCGAGCCGGTCCGTGATCAGCTGCCCACTGAGCCGCCACCCTCAGCTGAGCGGCGGCTGCAGGGCGTCTAGGCCGAGCCGGTCCGTGATCAGCCGCCCACTGAGCCGCCACCCTCAGCTGAGCGGCGGCTGCAGGGCGTCTGGGCCGAGCCGGTCCGTGATCAGCTGCTCACTGAGCCGCCACAGGCGGTCGGCCCGCTCCCGGTCGTCGGACGCGTCGGATTGCGGACAGGCGCAACAGTTGTTGATGTAGAGGCCACCGAAGCCCTCCAGCTCCGGCGCCGTGGCGGCGTAAACGCTGGTACTGGCCGCCTGCTGCTGCGGAGAGGCAGGCACGGCACAGGTCACCAACTGACACACAGTAGAGCTGACGTGACACAGACGGAACTCCTCATACACACGGTATAAGCGATAGCTGTCAGAACGGGCGCAACATGGAAAGCCCAGTACGGGACGTGCGGAAGAACGGCATGCCTCAGGTGCCTAAGACAGTACAGCTCATCGTACACCACAGAGACGGCGCAGGTCAGAGGAGACAGACGACACACGTCAGGGAAAAACACACCACAGGTCATGTTCGTGGATGAAAGGCAGCACAGGTAACAGACGGCACAGACATGGCTCAAACATTGCATAGGTCATGTGTCGCATAAAGGCCAAATCACGACACTGGCCATAGCCTGCTGAGCTCGGAAAGGTCTCAGACCACCCGCGTGCCTCACCAGGGACTTGGTGAAGGGTCGCACAACTGTGAAGAGAGCTCGCCACACCCACCAGTGGCGGCCCAGCGAGCTGCTGACCATGTTGCCCGGGTGTAGTGAGCTGCTCGTGATGCCTGCCAGGACCAAGGACCACCCATTACAGGCGAGCCCGCTGCTTCACAGCCAGATTACCGCAGCAGCCCGGATCAACGCACGCGTGAGTGGCAAATAGATTCCTTATTGGGCTCACAGCGCCCGCTCGTTAATGTAAACGATCGGCCTTGGCACATGAGCGGCTTTGGCTTTGGCCAAACGGCTTTGGCACATGAGCAGGCAAGGGCACGTGCAGCGCGAACCTTTGGAGCACCATCGTCTGTTGAGTTCGCTGGCGAAGAGGTTGTTACACAGCTTGGAGTCGTTGTAGGCGACGATGCCGACGTACTTGCTGGCGGGCCGGGACAGGTTCTCCAACGTGAAATCCTCCGCAGACAGACGAGACAGCCTGCAGGCAGCGACAGTCGCGTCAGGTGATGACGGTGCAACGAGTCGCTGGCAGACCGACGAGAAACTCCGCCCGCTGCACTGCCCCGCTCAGACCGGCACTACTGCACGCCAAACCACCACAGATCCTGCACCATCCCACTCAGCCCAGCACTAATACACGCCTAACCACCACAGATCCTGCACCATCCCACTCAGACCAGCACTACTACATGCTTAACCACCACAGATCCTGCACTACCCACTCAGACCGGCACTACTACACAGATCCTGAACTATCCCAGCCTAACTGCAGCCTTACCACCACAGATCCTGCACTACCCACTCAGACCAGCACTACCACACGCCCAACCACCACAAATCCTCCACTGTGCCCACTCAGACCAGCACTTTTACCCGTTTAACCATCACAAATCCTCTGGCGTGAGCTGAGCGTTGTCCGTGCAACAGACAGCACAGCGACGCGGACGAGCGTCGCGCCGCTCCGACGGACCTGTCCCCCGACCGCGCCGCCGCCACCGGCTGGCTGGGCGGACAACGGGTCGGCCGGCGCTACAGCCGCCCCCTAAATCAGCCTTACGGGCCGGACGCGCGCCCGCGCCGACACCGCCCCGACGACGGCGACGCTGTCAGCCGCTCTGCTGATCCCGAGACCACGGGCAGCTGGGAGACGTTGGATCACAAGACCACGGAGAGTTAGGAGGCGTTGGATCGCGAGACACGGCTAGTTAGGAGGCGTTGGATCGCGAGACACGGCTAGTTAGGAGGCGTTGGGTCGCGAGACACGGCTAGTTAGGAGGCGTTGGATGGCGAGACCACGGACAGTTAGGAGGCGTTAGATCGCAACAACAGGGACAGTTAGGAAGCGTTAGATCGCGAGACCCCAAACAGTTCGGAGGCGTTGGATCATAAGACCACGGACAGTTAGGAGGCGTTGAATCGCGAGACCACGGATGGTTAGGAGGCGTTAGATCGCGGGACCACGGGCAGGTCGGAGCCGTTGAATCGCGATACCACGGATATTTAGGAGGCGTTAGATCGCGAGACGACGGACAGCTAGGAGGCGTTGAATCGCGGGACCACGGACAGGTAGGAGGCGTTGGACTGCGAGACGACGGACAGTTAGGAGACACTATTGCGCTCTGGCTTTCAGGAAACGGAAGGCAGTGCCAATACCATACGTCACCATGACTCAATAATCCTCAGAGCCCATGCGCTGTCACTGCCATTGGAGACATTTGAACGCATGCGAGGATATATATGGATATAGGCGTACGGCAGAGTGATGCGTAACGAAGTTGTGGTTTCACAAAATGAGCTGGGGTCTGGGCAGGGACAAATGGCTAAACTTACCCTAAAACTACACACAAAAAAACGTTTATCCCGCAACACGCACGCACGCACGCACGCACCCACCCACACCCACACCCACACCCACACAAATATACATACATACATATATATATATATATATATATATATATATATATATATATATATATATACATATACATACATATCTATATCAATATCAATATCTATATCTATATCTATATCTATATCTATATCTATATATATATATATATATATATATATATATATATATATATACAAATACTGAATAGGTTACTACACCTCTAATGCGCAAGCAAGCAGAATGGATATATACCTGTCCTACCAATGGGAAATTCATGCCAACCAAGTGCAGAGCCGGCATGACGGAAGCATTAAAGGCCTTGGGCATGATCCTTTGGCATGATGGGCATGATCTTTCAAAAGGACCGCGATGGACTGCAGCAGAATATGTGTGCCACGGTGAGAATCAAAATAATGCATCGGCCTACCTGTCCAACTCTGGCTGCTAGCAGATTAATTTTATCATCTCTTGGCTTCTCATGCAACGGAATGGTTGTAATAGCTACGACACGTCAGCCTGTTAACGGCCCTCCTGCGCCGATGTTGTGACAATGCTGTGGTTGTGAGGCTTGTGAAATTGGAGCGCTTTTAGCGCGGAGACTTGGACAAAGCTGACTGCTGACACTCAAGAGCTTCTGTCGCAATCAAGACATTCTAGCACAAAAAACCAACGCCTACGTTCGTTGCTACCACATCAATTTGATTACGCAAGTTGTGAAGTGCATTTGCGAGGAACATTATCCACATAGATAAGACAGTAGTAATAGCCTTGTTCCTCGAAGAAAAATAAGGAAAATGGAGACATAGGCCTTGAGCATATATCTCCATTATATCCCTATATCTCCATTTTCCACACACACACACACATATATATATATATATATATATATATATATATATATATATATATATATATATATATATATACATATATATATATATATATACATATATATATATATATATATATATATATATATACATTGTCCTGAGTCTTCTCCAAAGAATGCGGCGATTACTACTGTCTTTTCCGCATGAATTTGACTGCAGCCCATGCCAAGGCAGAGCCGCGTGGCACACGAAGGGCGAGCCAACCGTCCATGCATTTGCCAGACTGCGCTAGGTGAGCAGACCGTTACTGATCGTAGGAATTTTTACGTCTGGCGAATCGTCTGATAAATAATGGTTGCATAAAGAATTAATCAATATCCTTTACATGGCAAATATGGAACTGAAAACCAAACGGCAGGTGAAGATAATAGCTGAAAATCCTATGAAAATGTAAAAAAGGTAATGTAATGTAATGTAAACGTAAAAAAACGTAAAAAAATGTTTTAAAAAATGAAAATGAAACGCGCAACGACACAGCAAAAAGACAGCTGGCAGCAAGTCACGCGCTTCAAACCTGCCCATGTGCGTGACTTGGAGAAGACCATGGGTGTACCTGCGTGACCTGCAGGGACTAAAGGTGCACAGGTTCTCACCTATGTGATTTTGAGCGAACATGAATGTACGCAAATGAGTGACTCTCATGGGAGACCACAGCAGGGGTGTCCGTACCTGTGTGACTCGAAGGAGACCACAGCAGGGGTGCCTGTACCCGTGTGACTCGGAGGAGACCACAGCAGGGGTGTCCGTACCTGTATGACTCGGAGGAGACCACAGCAGGGATGCCCGTACCTGTGTGATTCAGAGCAGACCACAGCAGGGGTGCCCGTACCTGTATGACTCGGAGGAGACCACAGCGGGAGTGCCCGTATCTGTGCAACTCGAAGGAGACCACAGCAGGGGTGCCCGTACCTGTATGACTTGGAGGAGACCACAGCAGGGGTGCCCGTACCTGTGTGACTCGAAGGAGACCACAGCAGGGGTGCCCGTACCTGTGTGACTCGGAGGAGACCACAGCAGGGGTGCCGTATCTGTGTGACTCGGAGGAGACCACAGCAGGGGTGTCCATACCTGTGCGACTCGGAGGAGACCACCACCACGCGGGCGCCGCGGGTGCGCGCCAGCGCCGGCTCCAGCAGCAGGGTCAGGTAAAAGTGGCCCAGGTGGTTCACACCGAACTGCGACTCGAGCCCGTCTTCAGTCAGCGTGTGCGGCGGCGCGAACACCGCCGCGTTCAGGATCAGCATGTGCAGATGTCTGCGGGCCGCGAGGAACTCAGCTCATTGTAATTTACCACGTAGCCTGTCTTTCCTGGCCATCACGACCTCCGTCTGAGCGCAGCCTGACCCCAGTCTGACCCATGACCTGTACGACCCGACCTGACTCATGAACTCTGACTCTGACTCTGGCCTGACCTAGAGCGGGTCCGACTCAGCAGGGGACATGTGCATGGGGAGCCGGCATCACCGCGTCGGTCGGCCTCTGGGGTGCACATAGTTGCATGCCAGCATCTGGGACACATTTCACTGATGGGAAGGTCACGCTATTTGTCGAGCCCATGAGTTCTCGGATGATGCATTACCAAGCACCCCTACCAGAAAATAATTGTCTGATTAGGGCTATACCGCGAACGCACCAATCAACGCGAAGACCATCACAAACAAGTTACTAAGCGAAGGCACGGCGCATGCACTTGGCCCATTTGCACAATATGAGCATGCGCACCATGCGCTAGCTATCCCCAATGATTCATTCCATTGCCCTTCAGAAACTGGCCACTGGCGGTCGAACGGGCCAAAACTAACGTTACACAGAATGGGAAATAGCATCACCGTAAGACACCAATGAGCATATGTAGCGACGAGTGACGGATGTGGACGGACGTCTGTGCCGGGCGACCTCGATATCAACAGACCTGTGGCGCCTGTGGAACTCGGCGGCACACTCGCGCACGCTCGCCAGGCTGGCCAGGTCCAGGTGAATGACGTCACACACGCTGTTGGCGCGCTCCGATCTGATGGTGTCGACGGCGGCGCGCGCCTTCTCCAGGTCGCGGCAGGCGAAAATCACGCGGCAGCCGTGGTAGGCCAGCGACCGGGCCGTCTCGTAGCCTGGGGCACGGGCGCGGGCCGGTCAGCGGTCAGCAGGAAGCATTGGCCAGCGACAGTCAGGCATGCGGATCTGTTGGGACATGTGTACAGCATACCCTCACTGATCCAGACCGACTCCCGCCTGGTGGTGACCGAGTCTAGTCAGTGTCTCGGTCTGATCACTACCCCACCAGCTCCAGTGTCCATTGTGACGTCATTTTTAGTACACAAGAGCCTTTTTAGTACACCCTGTGCATGCCTGCTATGCCTATCGTGGCCATTAACCACTGTAATTCATCATGTAACCCGCCTGCCTTGAGCAACACGACCTCTGTCCTACCACAGCCTGACCCCAGCATGACCCATGACCTGTGCGGCCGTACCTGACTCATGAACTCCGACTCTGGCCAGAATTAGAGCCGGTCCGACGCAGCCCGCCCCGGCACGCCACGTCCCAGCCTAGTCTCCGCACCCCTCCCGCCGCCCCGCATCAGCGCTCACCTATGCCTGAGTTGGCGCCGGTGATCAGCGCCACGCGTCCGCTGAGGTCCCGGCCGTGCAGCACCTGCAGCGCCGAGCTGGAGCCGTCGAACCGCTGCCGGATGCCCTCCTCGCCGCCCTCCTGCTCCTCCACGGCGAACGCCAGCCGCGGGTCGGTGAGGCTCGTCGTGCGGCTCTCGTGGTCCACGTACACCACCTGCGGCGGCCGGGCGGCGCTGGCAGCGCTCCAAGGCATGCGTGTGGGGTCGCCGCGCGTGAGGCGGCCGGCGTCGCGTGAGGTACACCGGCTCAAAACCGCCTCTGGCGTTAGTCGTGGCGGGGTCTCATGAGATTTCGGGGGCAGGGTTGAGTGGGGTTCAGACCCCAAAAATTCGTAAATTTTGCGTAAGGTTCATGGCATATACCAGATACTTTGATCCGCACAGACGCCAGACATTACACAACCGCACCCCCCTCTGTGTTAAAAGATGTTCTTCAGTGAATGATCATTGAGTTTCACATATAGGCTCCTGGTTCATGGACAGGCGGTGTAGTTACCGTCATTGGGTCGAGCACCACAGCCAGAGGGATTCACTCCCGTCACCTGTGGCCCCTGTTCTGTACTAGTGTCGTGCGATACGGCCAGCGGTGGCGCTAGAGTCGCCCCTAGCCGTCTGGGTCAGTATGAGACCGAAGTGCTCCCAATCACTCCACAGCAGCTTTGGCACAATGTCTCATAGCGTGTTTGACACTTTTCGATATATATATATATATATATATATATCTATATATATATAGATATAGATATAGATATAGATAAAGATATAGATCTAGATGTGTGCGTGCGTGCGTGCGTGCGTGCGTGCGTGCGTGCGTGCGTGCGTGCGTGCGTGCGTGCGTGTGTGTGTGTGTGTGTGTGTTTGGCGAGAGATGCACTTTCGAAAATTCGGCCTCGGTGCTCTGATCGTTGGGTAGAATGCACTTATAAAAATTCTATCGATGCGTGATTTTCAAAAGGTCCCTGGCTGCCCTCGTACGCACCACTGGCCAGGGACGAAATACCGGACGAAGACAAAGCCGACAAGACCGTCAGGTCATACCCGTCTCAGTGGGCTACCTCCAATTTGCTATTGTTCTACGTAGGTCACAAGCGGGACCACACTAAGACTACGCGGAGGTTTCGCATTTCATCTAGAGCGCCTGGATCCCGGTGCCGTCTCTAGCTATGAATACGCAGGACACTGCTTACCACCGATATGCATGCACGGCTCAGCTCCCTGAAGTGTTCAAACATATAGAATAATACATTTTATCCAGACTCTTCTAAATGACTCCCTCTCAAGCTCCCATAAGTCCAGCAAATATAAAAACTGAGCAAAAATAGGTTTGATTTAAACCTGAATTTTGGTGGACCAGGACTTTCCGCTTTGACCAGTCAGAGAATTCGTTGCTTACCTTGCCCTCACGATCAACAACCTTTTCCCATCCAAAGGGAAGCTCCTGAGGTACGTTTTTCTTCTTTCCTGTCCGGGGGTGCCTCCACTGGGTCACCTTCTCCGTGTGACTGAAAAACGGCGTCCACAACTCACAAACGGCCTATACCGTAATGACCTAACAAGAAGCGGTCGTGCAATTCTCAGCAGTTTATATCACGAAATTCCCAGAAATAGCACGCAATATTTGCCAGCCCTAACTTCGTGGACTTCATAACAAAACAGAGCCCAATTCAGCCGGCTTCGAGCCATGCCAGAAACCGCATAAAACAACGCCCAGCTTCAGCCAACACCAGACCGCGTTGTCCTCCTGAATGACCCAAACATTCTTTATAAATATTGGTTTAAATGCAACCCATCCATGGGAACTGTTAATTATTTATAACTGTTCAAGCATGACGTTTTAAGCATCCAAGACTGCATGGGAAAACACATGTACCTGGCCCCAACACAAGCTCAAGCACCCGATTCGCGTTAGCAGCGCGTGGAACTAACCAAGTATGCAACACACACAATCTAAGGCCCACTACGCAGCCGATCCAGCTCCACTGGGCTGAGACGAGACACAATCTAAGGCCCACTATGCAGCCGATCTAGCTCCACTGGACTGAGACGAGACACAATCTAAGGTCCACTATGCAGCTGATCTAGCTCCACTGGGCTGAGACGAGACACAATCGAAGGCCCACTATGCAGCCGATCTAGCTCCACTGGGCTGAGACGAGCAAACAGCTGGTGGCTTACTTGACATAGAAGACCCTGCCATCGAGGCTGACCCGTTCCTCCCATGTTGGAGGGAGCTCGTCTTCGCTGTCCGAATCGTAGCCTGGCGGCTGCATGATCCCCGTCACCAGTCCGACTTTTGCTCGGACCTGAAGGGAGGTAGCCATCCAGGTAAAGGTTCAACACTTGTTTGGTACCTCTGTGTTGAGTTGGAGCCTCATGGAGCTCAATTGGAAAAATGTGAAAAATACATAATCACAATCACATAAAAATCAGTTCTGCATGGAGGTGCATACAGAATTTGTCACTGACTACTATGGCCTTATTCATATTATCATTAAATTATTAAACTCAGAGGTAAGGACACATCATACATCAGCAACAGGCAGTTACACATTTGCTCACAGCTTGGGGCATGATTAAATAAGACCTTCAAAGAATGTAGTGTGTGTTTCATAGGCAAATGAATTATGCTGCAAAGCAAGCTGAAGTCAGCACAAATACCATTCAATGAGCCATACAAATGTGGTCATTTGTTTGAGTCACACCAAGGAAGGCAATTGGTGGCAGTACCACATGATGATGGATGTCATTTTACCACAACTGTGGGTGGAATGACACATTTGGAATGACACATGTGGTGGTAGAACCAAGCCTGTTCCTCATTTTTATTAACGATCCACCAGAAAAAGTGCAAACCATGGTCAACATGTTCCGTGGAAGACACTTAGAAGATGCGCTGAAGTGTTCTGAATCCCCTGACTGTGTCTCTTGTATCAGTCTACCCTGATACTGCGGTCAAGCAGTTGGAGGAGTGGCTGCTCCCTTTCAATGCATCAAAATGTTAAATACATCAGCAACCGTGACCCAGGACTGACATAACTCCTGAATGGCACTGAAATCACAGTCAAGCTCACAAAGAGGCACCTCAAAATCTGTGTGGACTACAGGCTCAATTACTATGTGGGGAGGTGGAGGCCATTTCAAAGGTCAACCAAATGCTGGGCTTGTGAGGCAGTCATTTGCCAACAACATCATTTGGGGCCCACTGGAAAGACATGGTTGCAGTGTTTCAAAAGTTTCACAAGCCATGTCAGTTAGTACAGAAGTTCCTAACAAGACAAGACTCAGATGTGACAAGAAGATATCCACATAAACCTTGAGCCAGGACTCTTGTCCGTCAAGATTTGATCAGCACCCAGGCCTTATATGATTGGAATGTTCTTCCATCCACCAACAGTAGCACTTTCAACCTCAGTTGAGCAATTCAAGTCCAGGCTTGATTTACACTGGGCTGATACCATGGTTGATATCACACACTGGGCACATCCCTAGTTTAAGGATGTTAGATCACCTGAATGGGAGCTAAAATAGACCAAGATCAACAGACCAAGAAGCCTTTTCAAATACTGATCACCATGAGGCAAGGTAAGGTAAGACCTGACAAATGGGTTAAGTGCAAATGTGTGATGCATGCTGCTGAAAATTTGCACTCACAGTATGCTAGAATGGATGCCTCATGGAAAACTTTGAGTTGCAATCTTCCATTACAACACCCTGCATACACACATGGGGTGATGAGCTTCAATAAATGATATTATTAATCTACCTTGATCTCAGACACCACAGGTAAGAAAGGCATTAGTGCAGTTTAGAAACACCACGCAAATGACTGTTTTACAGAAAGGTGAGAGCACAACGCATTACTTTACACATGCCCTAAATCCTTGTATAATGCTAACACAGGCTTCACACTCAGTTCTAGGAACATAAGCCAGTGACTCCCCATTCAGCTTTCAGCTATCTCCACAGTTCAGGTTAAAATAAGCTGCGTGAAAGCTCTGTGCAGGCACGGATTATGTCGGGTGAGTGAATACAGCAAATACTAGTCTCAGTTGGATTTTCAGGACATACTTATACAGTCTTGCGCTGTAAACAAGCACTTGCATGGCTTTCCGCTAATCAATAAGGGCCTACCAATCGCCCTTCATCTGCCCATTCTTACTCCTCTCGCCGCGCTCGCTCCGCACCCTCTGCTCCGTACGCTACTGCGCTGCTTCGCCGTGCGTCGCCGTATGTAATCGCCTAGGGCCTTGGTAATCGCCGGTGCTCACATTCCTCCCGCTGCAAAACCTGTCGCGTTGTGCGCCACAGATGAACCAAGTATGTCATATATGCAACTTATTTGCCGGGTCAAATCGCTGGCATGTAAAGTTTACGCTCAAAGATCAAAGTTTTAGTGTAGCAGGGTTTTGAGGACTGCACGACTCGGGGCTTGGACTCAACATACCGGGTCATGGGGTCAGGTGAATTTTGGAGGATAGACTAAACTCAAGACAAAACAGTCATTAGACAGGCCACTGGCCGGGCGACTAGTGGAGAACACATCTAACTCTGGACCGCAGCATCAAATAACAAGAACGGGGACGGGTCCAAGATTTCTTCAAGGGGGGAAGCCGGCATTGTGGGCGCCCTGGATTTTGGGGCTCCTTTGAAAAGTACATCGTATTCCTGCAATTAAGCTGCAATATATACACGGGAACCCATCTAACTGTGCGCAGCTCTATAAAGCTAGGCGTGCTACGCATGCGCATTCATGGAGCTCATTCACTTCCTACAGATCATGTTAAATCCTGTGATTTTGAGGTTGAGCGTTTTGGAACATCAAGCAAAATCAACTCAATTTGACTGCTGAATGCCATCAAAACCAAGCACGGACTTGATTCCTGGCTTGTTTACGGCTAGTTGTCTGAACAATGTAATCAGCTGATGATTAATGCATGATTTTTTCCGTTGTTAGAAAGAAGTACAAAATATCCTAGCATTCAAGACACGTTAAGGACGTGATTCACAAGCATAAAAAGTGTCTCCCACCATAGGCGTAGGAACGTTTCAAAAAAGTTGGTGGGGACACGCTCAGGGCGTACTTCAGGAACTTTTTTCTGGAAAACAAGCCCGATGACCTGGGGGAGGGGGGGGGGGGTAGAGATGGAGGTTATCGCTCTTTATTCAAAAGTAATGACTGCTACTCTAGGTATGAATCTAGAGCTGATTCTCACTGGTGCACACTCTTTCCTATCTGACTCGTCTATGTCATTCGGAAAATAAGGCTATCCATCCTCCCGAGGTAATGCGTTCATTTGGACGTTGTCTGTCCTGGGGAACCGAAATTCCACGAGCGGGTAGGCATTTTGGGTCAATCAGGAGACGTCTGCCTCCACAGGGTAGATACCAAAATATGGCCTGAGCATAGGCTGGTGAGAATTTTGAAAGTGAATCGAGGGCTCACCGTACAACAGATTTTGCATGCACCTTCATTTCGCTGGCTGCTTTTCAAGACATAAGACTTGTCGCGGCATTTTAGGCGGAAACAAATTCGGAAGCTTGAAGCTGCCAAAAACCAGGTGACAGAAGCCATAGAACTGGAGATTCTCCTTTGAAAACCAACCCACAGAATGAAGGCCCTTCTGTCATATATTTTTGTCTGATCCCTACTCCCGTCCGCCGTCGGTGGCCACTGTCCTGGCCCGGCTGTCTCCGATTGACTGACCGCGAACTGATGGCATGGCTACTGTGTTGCACATTTCTGGATCGGCATTGCTACTAATTGGGATATAAAGCATATGTTGGACACCTGCAACAGTGCTTTTTCCAAATGGTTTTCCCTTATACCACACCACCCCAGAAAAATGCCGCCGGGAAGCTGCCTACTTTAGGTATAAATTGGCCCAACGGACATTTCATTGCCCGTCATTAAACGTAGATGACTTGATCTACTTTTTGTGTTGGCGGGGGTAGCCAGCGCTTTGCTAAAAGGAACACAGGTTTGACAGAAGCCCCCATTATGGTGATCCTCCCCCACAAAAAAATATCCCCGTGTATAGTTTGCTTGTTAACAGGGGACGCGGCTTTTTTCGTTTCATTGTTATTTTTACGTTGTAACTAGAACAGAAGCCAGAAGCTACCATGAAATTAATTCTGTTCGCATTTTTAACACGCGCCCGGGTGGCCGGCTAGATACCCTTTGCTCGAGTGATGGTCAATTTGACCCCCTCTCCTGAGATCTTGGGATGTATTAGAGCTAGGGACACCAAATTCACAGGGTGTGTTGAACTGTACGTTAACTCATTTAGGTCAGAGTTTGAGGTTCCTAGGTCATGACTTTCGGGTCAAATAAGGTCAAGCAAGGTGAAACTCCAGGTTGGTCTCTAAGGGCCCTCAGAACGTAGGTAACTGTTTCTAAGCAAAAGGTCACGTGTTCAGTTAAGGTCAGTGCCCTTGTTTGACATTTGGAAGGTCAAGGTAACCAAAATCACGCAAGACTGCTCTGAGTTTTGCATTTGAATAGCCGAAAAAGACAACGCTATGCAGTATGTTTTTAAAAACAAAATGTCCACCTCGGTCATTTCAGGTCAATGGCCTATTCTGACCTCTAGGAAGTCCATGGAAGATGTATAATGGGGTTTCTGCCATCAATAAATTCGAAATGAGCACCAGAAACTATTACATGCAGCAAACCCAAGGGTAATGACAGGTTGATTTTGACCTTGGTCTGACCTTTGTACCTGACGTTAGGTCAGCTTAATTTGCTCATTTAATATTTGCGTTTCAACATTTCGTCATGGTCCACCGGTGAACGAAAATTATAGCGGTTATAAAATAAGAAAGCATCTCAGAGAAGTGTGGCTTCGTCCAACACTCCATTGTTGCATCAGATTGAACGATTCCCTAGAAGTTTACTTCGCTGAAACTATGGCCTGATTTTGAGCTGCCATAGGTCAGCGACCTTACAAAGCACATCAACATTTTTGACGCCAAACGATCTGCTATTCAATTGTCTACAGCTATGCAACATTTGGCGTGGCTATGCCGCACCTCTCGGAAACCACTCTGGAAAAACCTTCGGGGGGCGAGTCAATTTGACCCCCACCCGAGCGCGTGTTAAGGTCAATAAACTGCAGAAATCAGGCATTTAACGACCGCATGGAATACATCAACGGTATTCTTAGTTTGCAATGGCTTAGTGGACCCTTTCTAAAGCGATGGAATTCATAAGTTTGTTCATAACGTTATATCTGCGTTCTACAAACATTGAGGACATCGCGAAGGTAGATTGTGGATTGATAGGTGTCATCGAAATTTGAGGGTGAAATTTTTGGCTGTAGATCGAGTGGGCAATAATGTGTATTAACATCGCCAAGCCATGTTTGTCTGCATATTGTTAACATTGAGTCAGAATCGATTGGTGGTGCAATTTATATAACGTGGTTTTTAACATGCACGCTCGCAAATATTAGCAACAAAAACCTCGACACCAGGCGTTCCAGTCTCCATAGTCCGGGGAGCGCTAGCTCAGTGGCTAACATTTCGTCATGGTCCACCGGTGGACGAAAATGATAACGGTTCTGAAATGATTACCTTTAAACACTTGAATCGGTTAGCAATAAAAGTTGTGACATAATTCTGAGCATGTGTACCCGCAAATCTTAGTTAAAAAAACTCGACGCCAGGCGTTGCAGTCTTCGTATGTCGCGCAGCGTCGGCTCAAATATACTGATACCTGATGCTGATACTAATACTGAGCCGTGGCCAACGGGTGGACGAAGATGATAACGTTTCTGAAAGAAGTGCCTATGAACGCTTCAGGACACCAAATCTTGCATCTACAAGGCAGTCTGGGCGCTTATTTGACGTGTGCGATTCTTGGACTGATAACAGGAACGGATTAGCCCATAAACCGCAAAGTGGTGCTGGAATATGGCGGTGGAACTGGAAGAGTAAAGAAAGATCTTTTGTTTTTCGCGTTTCTGTGACTATCAATCTGTCCAGGAGACATATTAACATGGCGCCCGCCGTCTGGTGGCACTTGCAGTGGCCAACGCCGTTCGGTTTCACAGAAGCTGCAACCCAGGCCATCGCTGTCCTTGCTCTCGAGGTTGTGGGCGGGCATGTTCAAACCTTTTGATAATTGGTTTCACTAATTCATTCTGAAAAGATAAACGTTCTTAGACAATCATGGGATGGCCTTGTTCGCTTTTTTAAAATTCATTTCGACCTACTCTAACAATAATGAGACCTCGACTCTACTCAACAATAATGAGGCCCCCTTTTTCCTTTCGGGCAAGGTTCCCCTTGAGTAGAACACCAAGGGCACATTACCGTTGGTTCCGGTCAAAAGCTGAAGGACCACGCCGTCCCATCGTGAAGCGTCTTCTGGCTGCCATTCTAGCGACACGAGGCGGGATCTCCTGGTCGATCCGGAGGCCATTGGAAGGATATATCGTTTCACGTTTTTCCCCTCCCTGATACGGGAGGCCTTCTGACCCACGCAGTTGGCCCCAGATCAGCACAGGAACCCTCACTGACGCAACAGCATCCCTGATCGCCAAAGGGGGCCCAAAAATTGTCACACAGGCTTCAGTCCCGTGTTTTCTGTTTTGTTCAGAGATGTTGAGGAATCCCTGAAAGTAGATTGTGGATGAAATGGGATCCCAAGCTTGTATTAACATGGGTAACCCGTGTTCGTCGTAAAATGTTCAAGATTCAGCCAGAATTGATTACTGATAAAAAAACATCCAATATGGTTTTTAACATACGCGCTCGCAAGTCATAGCAGCAACAGCCTGGACGCCCGGCGTTGCAGTCTCCATGGGCAGTGTGGCTTCGGCCTGCGGCTGTGATACTAAGCGATGGTCAATAAGCAAACGAAATAGATGACGCATATTGAGGAAGATGGCTGGTGAACTAGGTAAATCGGCACGTATGTTCAAATGTGATGCAAAAGTAAGCTAAACACAATTATAATGTGAAAAGTGTGTGGGGGGGGGGGGGGGCAGTCAACACTGTTGGCCCCCCACCTTGAAAAGTGGGGGGGGGGGCATGGCCCCCCCTGTTCCCACGCCCATATCTCACACTAAATAGCCTAGGGAAATGACACATACGGCGTCGGCGGCACGTCAAATTGAGTTCGACAAAAAATCGTCGGTGCATGTCCGACTGCTGCTCTAAGGCTATGGCACCGAGGCTAATAGGGACGGAACCTGAGCGATCATGGGTGCCGCAGGAGGCCAACAAAGGGG